TTGGTTGTGATAACTTACAGCCTCTGGGTTTGGGGACTGTGATAATCTTTCTGAATCATGCTTGCCTGTGAAATGGAAAGCCAATGTAAGTAGCACTCTTTATTTATTTTTTATTTTTATCTTTTGGTACTGGAGATAGGACCCAGGGGCACTTTGCCACTGAGCTACATCCCTACCCTTTTTTATTTTTCATTGTAAGAGAGGGCTTCATTTAGTTGCTTAGGGCCTTGCTAAGTTTCTGAAGCTGTGTAACAAATTGGCAGTCCTCCTGCCTCAGCCTCCTAAGTCATTGGAATTACAGACCTGAACCACTGTACCTGGCTCAGAGCTCTTCTTTATACAATAGCTTTTCTTTTTCTTTGAAGACCCAGTATTGTTGTGATGGATTCATGTTTCCCAAAGGAGTACAAGTATGTGGGGGGAGTTCTTTTTAAAATGTGAGAACATGGTAAGGATGAGGATTATATACATTTCCAGGGACCATCCAAAACTTATAGAATCGGCATGTCCACAAGTTTTGCCTGGGAATCTGAAGGTTAGCACTATCACTAGAGGATGTATCTGCACTCAACTGAGAGTCATTTCTCTAGCAAGTAAAGATTCGACAGTTGTCTATGTTTCTGAGGTTGGAAGCCATGTCCAAGAAGTTTTGGGTTCCTTAGACTTTCCAGAGAAGACCCTGAATATTTGTAGTTTTGTTGCTTTTTCCTTTTTTTCTTCCATAATTAAATTGACTCTATTTTTTTAAGTGCTATGGATTAAACCTAGGGCCTTGTACGTGTTAGACAAGCACTCTGCCACTTAGCTTCATCTCCAACCCCTTTAAATTGTCTCTTAATGGAACAATTAGATAAGTCAGCTTGTGATTGAAATGAACAGTCCTCAAACTAACCAACCCAGCTTACACAGGACATTGCACATAGATTTCCCTGAATTGTGCATCAGAACATAAAAGTGTGAAGGACCACAGAAAGCTCTGTTCTTTGTTCAATTGTGGACATAAAAGCAAGTCTGATGACCGCTGCTTTCAGTAAGCAGGACCTGTTGGATGTGATGTCATCAGAAGGGAACTTCATTTTTATCCTCCTCTGACCATTCAAGTTGTGTTTGCAGGGTTCGTTTTTGTTTTTTGTTTTTTTGAAAATGGTAATTTAATCATTTTTTCTTCTAAATATATTGACTAGAACTATCTTGTGAGGAGGAGCTCTGCCTTCACTTCTTTTTAAAAATATATATATTTAAAGTTTCTTCTGATTTGTTACACATGATGGCAGAATGCAATTCATTTCATATTACACATATAGAGCATAATTTTTCGAGACACTGATTGTACACAGAGTATTTTCACACATTTGTGTCTTATACATATACTTAGGGTAATGATGTCTAACTCATCCCACCATCATTCCTTTCCCCTCCCTCTCCTTTACCCTATATAAAGTTCCTCCATTCCTCCCATGCTCCCAACAAAATCACCATTATGTGTCTGCATCCTCATACCAAAGAAAACATTCCGCTTTTGCTTTTTAGAGATTGGCTTGCTTCACTTAGCATTATGTTCTCCAGCTTCATACATTTATCTGCAAATGCCATGATTTTATTTTCTTTTATTGCTGAGTAATGTTCCATTGTGTATATATACTAGAGTTGCCCTATCCATTCATCTACTGAAGGGCTTCTAGATTGGTTCCTTAGTTTAGCTATTGTGAATTGTGCTGCTATAAACATTGATGTTGCTGTGTCCCTGTAGTATGCTGTTTTTAAGTCCTTTGGGTATAGACTAAGGAGAGGGATAGCTGGTTCAAATGATGGTTCCTTTTCCAGGTTTCCAAGGAATCTCCATATGGCTTTCCAGATTGGCTGTACCAATTTGCAGTCCCACCAGCAATATATGACTGTGCCTTTTCCCCCACATCTTTGCCAAAACTTATTGTTATTTGTATTCTTAATAGCTGCTATTCTGACTGAAGTGACATGAAATCTTAGACTAGTTTTGATTTGAATTTCTCTAATTGCTAGGGATGTTGAACATTTTTTCAAATGTTGATTGATTGTATATCCTAGACCTGTAGACCAATGGTGCAGAATAGAGGACACAGAGTCTAACCCGTATAACTTCAGTTATCTTATATAAGACAAAGGCACCAAAATCGTACATTGGGAAAACTGGCAATTCACATGTAACAAAATGAAATTAAACCTCTATCTCTCACCATGCATAAAACTCAACTCAAAGTAGATCAAGGACCTAGGAATTAAACCAGAGACCTTGCACCTAATGGAAGAAAAAGTAGGCCCAAATCTCCATCATGTTGGTTTAGGCCCCAACTTTCTTAATAAAACTCCTGTAGCACAAGAATTAAAACCAAGAATCAATAAATGGGATGGATTCAAATGACAAAGCTTTTTCTCAGCCAACGAAACAATCAGTGAGGTGAGCAGAGAGCCTACAGAATGGGTTCATTTTTTTCTACCCTTTGTAATAAAATTGGGACATGTCATGAACTTCCACTTTCATGTCATAGAGAGTCCTTTGCTCCTCTTTGATAGTTATTAATATATTCCGGATAGAGCAATATTTTTAAAATATCCCCCAAAGTTTTAGAAGCCAGGTATCCCTCTCTTCCAGCTCTGTACTTAGGGCTGCCTGCTTGCTGTCAGAAAGAAAATATGCTAGGTTTTTTCTCTTTTTCTCTGCCTGGAGTTTTGCTTGTCTTCTAGGACTTCACTTTTTTTTCCCCCCTTCAGTAGATTTCCTCTCGTTTCTCTAGGGCTGAGAGATGCAGGGTGAAGAATTCAAAAGACATGGCAAATGAAAGCTAGCTTGATGGCTTCTATACAAGGCTAGCTTAGATGCTCTTTGAATGGAAGGGACTGCAAACTGATTATTCTCTTGGGCTTTATCAGGGACTCACCATTTCCTAATATCAGCTAAATATCTCATCTGAGGCCACATTAAGTACCTAGCTGAACACTTTCTATGGAGGTCTCTTTGCCCTCAACTTCTATAACTCAGTAATACCCTCTTGTGTATTATCTAAGACATTACTAAATCAGCTGCTCTTATGTATAGTCTACACATAGTTTGTAGAAAATACTAATTTGGTCTGACAAGCTCTGATAAGACAGGCCACATCCAGTCCTGCCACCTCTTGTACTTTTCCATCAGAGTTGATAATGAGTCACAGTCACTAGTACTTTGGGTCTTGCCAGTGCAGATTCCAGTTCATAGCTTCCAAGTGCAAGAAGATACTCTTCAAGCTCACTAGGTAACATTATTAAGACATCTCCAATAGGCTTGAAGTAGGGGAGAAATACACAGTGCTCTCCTGTGGAGAAGGGAAGATGGAACTTCCAGTACAATATAGCTCCCTCTTCCGAAAGACTCTTCTGATTTCTTCTTCACTCCCTTGTAGACCAGCATTGAATGGTCACTTTGTGGTGTGACACTGGTTCTTGCCCACTTGCCTTGAATGTCCCAACTGCCCTGGGGTCTCTTCTTTCACTTTGGTAATGAGGGTGCACTTGCTATCTGTCTCAAGACTTTAGGGCAAGATGTCAAATCCCTGAGACATAAGGGATTCCATTTTTATATCTATCCAAAATCATAATCATAGCTAACTTATATTGATCATATGTTACATACCAGACTCTCCCTCCCATACACATTTAATATGTCACTCAGTCCAACATTAAAAGGAAACAGAAGTTTACAGAAGTCAAATAAGTTGCATAAAGTGATCCAGGTAACAAGTTGCAAAGATCTTTCAACCATTATGCATTATTTTCTTAGGGAAATAGGGAATAGCTTTGCCTTTTAGAAAAAAAAATACTATGCATTAATTAGAAAGAAACACTGCAGTTGTTTAATGTCTTTGGTTTTACAATAGGAAAACCAGAATTTTATGGCAATATCAATATTAATAACCCTTACTTGCTAAACATTTTATTCTCTTAGTTCTTACTACAGCATTGTGAAGTAGTCGGGCTTGTCTTCAACTTGTAGATGAGGAAATTGAGGCTGGGAAGAAGTTATGTTACTTTCTGTGGGTTGCACAACCGGGGATATTTGAGCTATGATATAATCCAAAGTTTCAGATCATGACCAACTTTTCTTTTCTCTCTACTCTGAAAGGACGTACTAGCAGAAGGAAAGTGTTCCAGTGTGGGTCTCTGAGCTGTGGCAGATGTTTAAAGTTATTTAGTAAAAGCTGTTTGTAACACAAGTTTGTCTCAAGATGAGTCAATACTACAAAATAGTTATGAAATTTGCTGAACTCCTTGAAAGCAAAAAGTTATCTTCTTCATCTTGGAATCCCTAGTGCCTGTCCCATAGTTGATACTGTTATTAATGAAGTAAACTGTCTTTTAAACTCTCTGTTGGAAAGGCATACTTGGTGTGAAACAGATTGATGTTTTATCCTTCTCCTGGGTATTTCCATCTTGTATGATAGAAGGGAAAACTAAATGAATAATGTCTAAAATTGTATTTCCTATTCTGCCAATGGAAGAAAGGTAGAAAAGGAATGGGAAAGAGAATTTTGTTGTTGTTTATTTGTTTGTTTTTTTGATGTTTCAAATTTTTCTTCAGAGATGACAACCAACTATCAGTATGACTTAGGGGGAAAAAACCAGAATGCTTTTTTGAATTATAGAATGTCTAGAAACACTTTGCTTCAATTCACAGAACCAAGTCTCCATAATTTCAGTCATCTTATTTGACTTCTGTAAACTTCTGTTTCCTTTTAATGTTGGACTGAGTGACATATTAAATGTGTATGGGAGGGAGAGTCTGGTATGTAAAATGGAGTAGGCTGCTTCTAATATATCCAGACACACTTCTACTAAGGGATCTGCTGGCTGGGATCCAGAAGGAGGGATGGAAGTGTAGTGGGTGGTATGAACTAGGAAGTCCTCTGTCCTTGAACTTTTCAATGTTCTAGAATTCATTCAGGTGGTTGATCCAGATGGAGCTAACCAGGTCTGTCTGTTGTCCACAGGTCTGAGGCGCAATTACAGATGTACCATCTGCAGTGTCTCCCTAAATTCAATAGAACAGTATCATGCCCACCTGAAAGGATCTAAACACCAGACCAAGTAGGTACTTTCATACTTTCACTTTTTTATCCTTTTCTAAGGAAGTTTTTACAAGATGACTAAAGGCTAAACATGTTATTTATTTCAAGATAAGCAGATGGAAATTGTATCTCTTCATCTCCAAAGTTCCCTTGATGTTTGTGCTACTTAAGTTTCCAAAATCTCCTTGTATTACTTGAAAAATGACTTCTTCTCCCCCCCGCCACCTTTTTTTGGCACAAATAATGACCATTTCATTTTTTCATTTTTTTTTCAAAAATAACTCAGTACCTTTTATGATCTTGAGAAAACTTTTAGATCTATACTAAATGGTTTAAGTAAAAGATGTTACCTTTGTTTGTAGGATGTGCCAAACTTTGGTGTCATAAAGTCAAATTCTATTAATGTCTTCTATCACTTTCCATCTCTGGATGAACCATTGTTGATTGTTTTAGAAAAGACAGATCCCCTGGTATATTAACTCATTTATATACATAGCTATTTCCAATTAAATGGAAGCTCATTTTATTTTTTCCCAGGAAAAGGCCGACCATGTATCATTTCAACTACATTAATACTATGCATTCTTTTAGAAACCACTAACACTATGAGCATATGGGCATTTTTAAAGCAGCTGCTAGGGCTGTTAATAAAATGCTAATAAAATAAGAAAAACAAAGACTGTTTCAAAAAGATGTAATTTTCCAGAATATAATTGTTTTCATTTCTCTAATATTCTTAAATAGATTCATTTAACGGATTTGAATGTGTCAAGACCTCATGAATAATGCATGATTCCATCCAACAAACATTTATTGAGTGCCCACTATGTGTCAGATCCTGAGCTGTGCACTGGGGGAGAAAGAATGAATAGACCTAATCCTTCCTCTGTGGAGCCCCCTCCCAGGCTGGAGTAACAGCCCAGTAAACACACAGATTGCTCTTCAATACCATGTGTGCACCCAGAGCTTCAAGGACAGGGGAGGAAGCAGCTCAGGCAAGTTTTACAGGGACATTAGTGCACAGGCTGAGCACATGAGAATGAGGTCATGGTTTGATTTTGTGCACCATTTTATCCCTGATATCTAGTGTGGATACATATTAAGGAATTCACAAGTATTTTTAATGAAATGAGTTTGTGATTTCAAAAAATGCATAACAATTTCCAGGCAATAATATGAGAAGGAAAATTCCATGCAAGTACCTTATTTTGTGAAGATGCTGTAAAAATGTAGGTCATAGGGGGCCTGGCTCAAAGTAAGCCAGTGTGAAACTCTGAATTTAAGCCAGAGTTAGTTTCTGACTTTCACTTTGCTCCTCAATATAGTGCTGTCTTGTGAGTCAAAGCCAATTTCATGGCTTGCCTTACTCTGATCCATCCCACAGGTCTTTTATCAAGGTCCTTTTTTTTAAAAAAAAAAAGATAATTTATTATGATTTGATATGTTTGGTCTTTTATAACTGTAGAATACCTAGAATACTTGTGTTTATTACTTCTATTGATTGTTTCATACTCCCCCCTCCAATAATATGTTTTCATCATCTCTGTAATTATTAATGTATAAGAGAACCACATAGATACTAATTAATGCATTCTAATGTACAGATTGACACACAAATACTTGCAAGAATAAATTATAATCTTTGCAGGGCATGGATTCATTGTTCTTAATAAGTAGAAAAAGGTACACTGTACTGACCTTACATTGCAAGAGTCATGTAAGAAAAACAGTGCAAATAGTATTACCAGCTGCAGGAAGTTCTCTCTCTCTACACCTCTACATTTAAAACTCCATGTCGTAGAATCTGTGCTGGGCATTTTCACATTTATAAACTCATTTTATCCCTGAAACTACCTTTGAAATAAATTTTGACCCAATATCTTACATGGGAAGACTAAGGCTCAGAGAGATGTAGTAACTTACCAAACATCACCTTGACAGCCAATGGCAGAGGCAGGACTAATCCCCACAGGGTGTGACTTTTGCCTCTACTTCTTTCATGTCACTCCATTTCCATGAACCTAGGCACAGGGCAGAGAAGTGACAATGGAGAGTACTGTGATGGGATTTGAAAAGAGGACATCACTTCCCTGAAGTGACTCAATATATACGTGTAGCTTCAGAAGGACACATCTCCCCCTGTGCTGCCTTCTCACCTGCAGACAAGATTGTTCAATTCTAACTCAAAAACACACAGCAGCCCTCCCCCTGAAGACTGAACCAAGGGAACTGTGAAAAAAGTAATTTGAGTAGTCCTGTCCTCCACATGTGTTCCCATTTGTACTTGTATTTTATTCGAATATCATGTGCATGCATGTAAGTGTGTGTGAGAGAAAACAGGGGAGAGAGTAAGCTCAGGGGTATGTGTGTGCACACACACATGTATGTAAGTGCCTGTTAAGTCTTTTACCTATTTATCAAAAGTTGAGTTTTCCTTTTCTTCATGATGCTAGAGATGAAACCCAGGGACTCACACACGTCACCTCTATCACCAACCTATACTCCCACATCTTATTTTTTCTTAATAAGTTGTAGACGGTTTTAATTTTAATAAAGTCCAATCTGTCAATCTGTTCTTTTATGGTTTCAGTTATTACAGTGCTATTTAAGAATTTTCTGCTTGTCTCATGATCAGTAAGATAATCTGCAATTAATGTTCAAAATGATATGGTTTTTTCCTTACAACAGATCAGCTCTTTGATCCATCTGATGTTAATTTTAGGAATAACATGACAGAGAGGTAAAATTTCGGATTTTTTTTTCCCAATGATCCAGTAGCACTTATTGAAATGAGCCTGGAATGTGTGTATGAGTGTCTTTGCCTCTCTATTCTGTATTCTCTTGGTGTTATATTTGTCTTTCTTTATCTTAATATCACATTACTTATTTTCTGTAAATTTATAAGTCTTAATATCTCATAGTTCTGATCTTCTAATTTTGTTTTCTTATTCAAAACTGTCTTTACATTTCTTGACTCTTTGTGTTTCCATATAAATTTTAGAATCAGTTGTCAACTTCTAAAAAAACCTTAATACTGTTGAGTCTTCTAATCCATAATTATGGTATATTCCAGCTTTGATTTATGTCTTCTTTAATTCTTTCAGTAATGGTTTATAGATTTCTTTGCAGAGGTTATGCATCCCTTTATTTAGATTCATTCCTAATGACATTTTGGAATGAGAGGATAAATAAAATCACTTATAAATTTTATTTTAAAAATATTTTCTAGTATAATAACAAGAAGTTTAGCAACCCCATATCAATGCCTATAGTAGATTTACTTATTAATTTTATCTGTAAATATTTTTATGCAAAAGCCATATCATTTGCAAATAATGACAATTTATTTCTTCCTTTAACATTTTACTTATTTATCTCATTGCATTGTATAGGGTCTTTGACACAATGTTGAGAAAGTGGTAATACTACCCATTTTTGTCTCATTCTTGATCTCAGGATTTTCAGATAGCTTCAACAAAATCAAAGTAAGAAACTTATGCTTTATTAAAAATTAGCTAACATTTGTATTTTGAATAGATGCGGAATTACATTCTTTTACTTTATTGACATGATCATATAGTTTTTTCTTATTTTATAATATATTGAATTATGTTTAGTGATTTCCAAATGTCAAACCAACTTTGCATTAAAATATCATTTGTCTTGGTGCATTAATGTTTTACATATACTTCTGGAATAAATTTTCTAGTACTTGTAAAGGATTTTTTTTAATATATGTGTTTATAAGACAGATTACACCATGGTGTTTCTTTTTTGTAATGTCCTTAGTATCAAAATTATGCCGATTTTATGAAGTTGAGGGGTTTTCCTTCTATTTTTAATTCCTGAATAAGTTTGTGATAGACCCGTGTTATTTCTTCCTTAAATTTTAGGAAGAATTCATTGATGAAGCCATCTGGTCCTAAAAATTTATATTTTGGGAATATTTGTATTAGAAGTTTAATTTCTTTAATAGACTACTATTCATATTCTATATCTTTTTCTGTAGTAGTTTTAATACATTGTTTTTGAATGGGTTTTTCTGGTTTTTCTACATTTTAAAAATGTTTTGGTATAAAGTTGTTCGTGATATTCTCCCATTCCATTTTTCCTGTTCGGATATTTTTTATTCTTGACATTGTTTATGTGTTTTCTTGACCAGTTTTGTTGAAAGTTTATCAATCTTTATTAGTTTTTTAAAAAATCAAAATTTGGAATTTGTTGATTTCCTCTATGTATAGTAATTATCTGCAGTTTAAGAAATTATTTTCTTCTTTCTAAACCTTTTGGGTTTAATTTGCATCTTCCCCTAGACATCTTAATATGAAAGCATAGATTAGACAAAGGGGAATGAAAGGAAGAGAAGGGGGATGGGAATAGGGAAGACACTAGGATGAACTGTACATAACTGGAATGAGAGGATAAATAAGTGTTTCTTTTCTTCTAGTGTCTGCATTTAAATCTGTACATATTCTTCAACATATTGCAGTAGCTGTGTCCCACAAGTTATATTCTGTACCCAGCTGTTTTGCATGTAGTCTTTCATTACTATTAATTTCAATACATTACCTATTTATATTGTGATTTCTTCTTATATTCATGGATGTTTGGAAGTATTTTGCTTAAAATCCATCCAATATTTTGGATTCTTTTGTTTATTTCTTAACAATTAATTTGTATCTATATTACACAATGGTCAGAGAATGTACTTTAAATGACTTCAATCCTTTGAAATTTGTGAGCATGTGCTTAGTGGGGCAGGTGTGTGGTCAGTGTTTGCAATAGTCCATGTTCTTCTTGAAAGAATAGGCCTTCTGTAGTAATTATGTATACTATCTTTTAAATTAATCAGGTCATGTTTCTTAATCTAGTTCAAGTCTTTTATGTCCTTATTTATTTATTATTTTTTTGTATTCTTATTCTACCTGTCAGAAAAATGTAGTTAAAAGAAATCTACCTATGAATTTGTCTGTATATCCTTTTAATTCTGTAATATATATATATATATATATATATATA